CATGAACGACGTGGAAGTCAAAGTGGGTTCCCATCGATGGAGCGTTTTTATCCCGATCCGCACTTTCTCGTGCGCAAATCCCTTAAATAAGGCTTTTTTTTTGGGGGTCGAACCTTAAATAAGGCTTTGAATAGTCAGAGTTTTCGTTAAATTTTAAGGTATACAATAGAATTGATAGCCACTCGGTTAATTTTTCTCTCAATATTCATGTATCACATACACCATACTCAGCAGCCCAAATTTGATGCTTTCCTTGAAATTTTACTCTCCATTTTTTCTGTAAAACAAAAAAAAAAAGGAAACTATCTTAGGGTGCGTTTGCTTCGCGAAAAATGAATTATTTGGAAAACATTTTTCCTAAGAATAATCGTTTATATCTTTTGAAATAATTAGTTAAGGAAAAATGTTTCATTATCAACAACAATTTATGATTAAATATTTTCATTAAATAATGAAAAAAATTGTGTATTTATTTTTTTAAGTTATACGAGCAGTTATTTTTTAGAAAATATTTTTAAAATTATTCAATTTTTGCGAAACAAAATATACCCTAAAAGCATCCCGAGTTCCCATTCTCTTGTACAAAGACCATTGAACAATGTTATCATTGTGAAGAATTTTGATAATGTTGTTTATTAGGTGATAGTTTGTAATATTAATTAAAGTGCTTGTCCCTTGAAATTCATGTTGTCTCATTTTCTTCCTTTATATTTTCCTAACCACTAGAATCGGGTCACACGCAACCCGTGCGACAAGGGGGTGGCAAATGGGTCGGACAGGCCCAGGCCCATAAGCTTGAGATTTACAAGAGGACGAGGTTGAAGCCAATTCCTATATATATGTCTGCTGGGCTTTGGCAATTCCGACGATCGGGCGATTGGAAAAACAAACAAAAAACTTAGTTTTACCGATTTTAGCCCGATCACAAAGCAATCAAACTCTTCAGAATACATCTTTCAAAGATGGATTAGAACGACATAAAACACGTATGGCTTGAAAAGTAAAGTGAAAGGAATGCAAACACTGAAAAGGAAATTACTAGGAAGTAAATGTCATTGAGATAGTAATCAAACGAACGTTACAAACACCTTCAAACTCAAATGGAAATATCGAAGCGGACATTATATTGGCATTCCTGACCCACGCCGCGAATCACATGCGGAACTCTAAAACTAAACGCCAAATGGAAAGAAATTGCTTTCAAACGGAAATGCTGTAAAACAAAAGTTTGGGAAAAGTGTCAAAAAAGTCCTAAACTTTTAGCATTGATGTCAATTTAGTCATAAATCTTTTTTCAGTGCCAATTCAGTCCTAAACCTTTTGCATTGATGCCAATTTAGTCATAAATCTTTTTTTTGTGCCAATTCAGTCCTAAACCTTTTGTGTTTGTGCCAATTCAATCATAAACCTTTTATTTTTGTGCCAATTCAGTTCTTCCAATCAATTTTAGCCGGATTTTCGTAATGTGGATGCCGGCTAGCCGGCAGCCAATCACCGGCGCTGACATGGATAACTTTTAATAATATTTTAATATTTTTTTGAATTTTTATTTATTATTTTCTTTTCTTTTCTTTTTCCCTCCCCTTCCTCCTTCCTCCGGCCGATCATTGGACCGGCCAGAGGCCAGAGGCTGGCGAGGCTCGCCCTCGCCAACGATGGCAAAGGCGAGCCTCGCCATGGCTGGACGAGGGCTCGAGCCCTCACTGGAGGCCGTGAGGTCAAAGGCCTCTAGTGAGGGCTCGAGCCCTCGCCGGCGGTTGGGTGAGGTCCAGCCTCGCCAGTGGCTGGGCGAAGCCCGACCTCACCGGATCTGGCTAGGTCCAGCCTCGCCTAGCCATGGCGAGGTCAACCTCGCCGGCCTCTGGCCCGGCAACCGGCTGGAGGAAGGATGGAAGGGAGAGAAAAAAAAGAAAAAAATAAAAAAAAATTCAAAAAATATGAAAATATTATTAAAAGTTGTCCATGTCAGTGCCGGTCGGCGTCCATGTCAGCAAAATCGGGCCAAAATTAGCCGGAAGGACTGAATTGGCACAAAGACAAAAGGTTTATGACTGAATTGACACTAATGCAAAAGGTTTAGCACTGAATTGGCACTAAAAAAAGGTTTATGACTAAATTGGCACCAATGAAGTGGCATCAAAAAAAGATTTAGGACTAAATTGGCATTAATGCAGAAGGTTTAGGACTTTTTTAACACTTTTCCCCAAAAAGTTTGGTAGAGTTTTGGTGTAATTTGAGCATTTGTTCTTCCTTTGTGGTTCTTTTATTTAAAAACTTTTGGACCTTCTTCAGCCGTTGTAATAATTCACACGCAATCCTCTCTCTAACGGCTTGTTCCTAAACTTTTGCATAATGTTCAATTCGAATCATTGAATTTCTTTAATCCCCAAGTCAATTTTGCAGCTCTTTTAGTCCAAATTTTTGTGTGGGTTTTGCTTGCTGAATAGTATGGTATGGTGAAACTGTTGATTTTTCTTTAGCATTTCGAGTGGGTAGACGATGCCTTCTACGTGTTTGACAAAATTCCTAGTTGACCATCCCCGTTCTTCATGTCAAGTGGGTCGCGCCTTCGCCAGGCCCCTCGCCTGTATCTCTCCGTGTCTGTTTGTATGATTTTGTGCCGAGGTGGTGGCTTCGCTTGAGCTCGTCTGGGGATGCTGGACCTCAAGCTTTGGTGCCCGGGCCTGATGCCTTGACACCTGGACCCGATTCCACAAAGGCCATGCTCAAGTCCACAAATGTTGTGCCCGGGTCCAACGAAGTTGGGCCCAGGACCTAAGTGCCTACACTCGGGTCTATCGAGGCCGAGCCCGGCACCTAGGTGCCTGCGCCCAGGTCCATTGAGGCCAGGCTCGGGACCTAGGTGCCCATGCCTTGATCCTTGGTGCTTGGGTTGGGGTCCATCGCGGCCAAACCCGGGACTCTAGTGCCCATATCTGGTCCCCAATTGTCCATGCGCAAGTTACTAGTGCCAGAATAATGTATGTCTATTTAGGATTTTCAATATCAAACGATGAAAAACATTTTCCAGTTCATTTTCAAGTTCCAGTCAAACACCCAAAAAACGATATTTTCCGTGAAACCGACGGAGCCTTACCTGTTGCCTTATTTCTTTTACAAATATTGATAGCCATTTGGATGCCAGACCCAATCAATCAAACAAAAAAAAAAGGTAAAAAACGTGATTGAACATTTTGTGAAAGTTTAGAGGCGCACCGGTGCCTTTATCCCTAACTCTATGACCATCACGCATTTCGTATTAGCCGTCCTCTCACATACAAACCAACTAAGTACCAAAACCAATCCTGTTTTCCTTAACTCAAAACAAATCGAAGTTCCCATTTCCTCGCTATGGTCGAAGTGTCCATTAGCTAGCTTCAGCTCGAGCTCGAAAGTGACTCTAAAGGGAGGAAGAGAAGAACTAAAAGATAAAGGGAACATTTATGAAAGTTCTGCGTTAAAGCTGTTTGTTCAACCGAAATAGAAACGAAAGATCACAGAGAACTGCAGAAATGGCAGTCCGAAACAACTGTTTTTCAGCCAAAGAAGTCCAAAATAATATATAAAAAAAGGCATATCTTAAGTTACAAAGTGAAAGAAACAGTTTCCAGAAATTTTTAAAGGAAATGAGAATTGGTCGACCAGTCCCGAGTCGAACGCTATCCATTAGAGTCCCCGTGTCGGCAACAGCCATCTTCTTCTTTCTCGTCGCTTATCCACGACACAGGAGCGCAACTAGCACCAAAATGTCTGGGTTGTTGGAAAACCAAATGGAATTGCTTCTTTGCGGTCCAAGTTGACTTCCAGGAGTACATGAACATAAACATCATTTGCTATGATGGTTATAAAAAAAAAAACATCATTTGCTATGACGAAATTACTAATTACATTATAATTGGGACGGGCGCAAAAAGAGTGCAATTTGGAAGCCTGTCTTCCTCGTCATGTTAGATGATACTAGATTGATATGCTCACAGATCAAGAGGGAACATGAGAATTCTCTTTCAGATAACACTTCTTTTCCTAGGATGCGGGCACTATACGTTCTGGTCTCGGGCCATCAGATACCAGGTTTTCACCGCTAGACTTGAGATCGTGATGCATTTCAACAATGTCCAGATTATAGCTGTACAGAATAAACAGCCGTCGTACACCCGCGACATTGCTGCTTAAAATCGCCAGGACCCGTCTCATCCAACCTTTCCACAAGGAACTCAATCCCCACTCAGAAGTTTAGTGATCTGCAAGTGCAAAATACACCCAAAACACAGAAAGAAACGGATCGCTCCGCAAAATTCTTGGGCAATAGTTGCCTTCCATCTCTTCCTTCTAGCGAGTCCCCATTGCCACAATTAAACCCTTTCTGCTTTGTTTTAGTAATTTGGTTTCGAGGGCTCACGAAATTGAATGGAAATATATCAGAGATGATCGTCCTTTGGGCCATTACTATCTATAGAGAAGCATCGTACTTGAGTACAAGAAGAACGGTTCAAAGAAAATACCAAACCAAAAGTCAAAATTCGGTAAGAGAATAAACTTGGGCTATACCGTATTCTTCTCGATGGTAAGAGTGGAGGAGCTACATTTTGTACGTGCACAAAAGTCAAGCAGTACCTGCTCCAAGGGGAAAAATGCCCACCAATACGACAACATCGTTGGCTGAAGCATTTTGGCTTTTGCAGATCCAACAGCATATCACTGTCTCTCTCCCTCTTTCTCTCTCCACTCTCTCTCAGTCCAGAAAACATGAGCAGAACCAGACATTAAAGTCCAACTGGACTTTTGGTTGTGTCTCCTTGTGCTTATACAAGTAAAAAGCATCTGCAACTGCATCCCACTACGCCCCCCCTCCTCCCCCAAATTAAATGTTTGCCATCCAAACACAGCTTGGCCTTTTCTCCTCCACACAAACACCCCACTCGAGGCAGAATGAAATGGCAATAACGGGACGCATTTGGCAAATTCCGCCTCAATTTACAGAAAGGGCTTGAGAGAAGAGGTCAACAAACATGTAATTCATTCATAGTCAGGTTTACACAGAGAAGAAAGAAGAACAAAAATCATCATACCCATACTATTTCACATGAAATCAGAAGAAAATCCCCAGGTCCTAAGGCTAATGTAACCAAGTAATAAATTGGAAAAAGAAGGGACAAGAACAAACCCAAGAGCCCCATAAGAGAGATAAAATCAATAACCCAAGTTAGAATAGAAAAATACACAGTTATAATTATCATTAGAGCAATAATATGATGATTCCTGAAAAGGGTTTCATCATCTTCCCCTGCCGGTGAAATTCATCTTCTCATAGCACCGAATCGAGAGCAGGGACAGGAACAGATGCACCTCGTCCTTACCCCACCTGGTCTGCGGCTTCACCCCCATCATCGGCGGCAGCGGCGTCGCCCACGCCGAAGCCGAGGGCGGAGCCGAGCTGGAGGAGGCCGACCCGGGCTGCTGCTGCTGCTGCTGCTTGGAGAGGGGGAGGTAGAGCGAGTGGAGCCGCCTGAAGCCACCGAGCGCGAGGACGACGGATCTGAGCTGCTGGTTACCACAGCCGATGTTGGGCCAGTGCCGGGTGCAGATCAGCTCCCAGAGCCGCTCGTCCTGGGCCGTACGGTGCCAGAGCTTGCTCACGCAGGCCGCCATCGCGAGCGTGCGGGCGTCCGCGTGCTTGAGCACCTCGAACAGCAAGTTCTCGTCGAGGTGGGCGAACCCGGTCGGCGGGACCGCGCCGCCACCGCTGCCGCCGTCCTCCTCCTCGAACTCCTGGTCGTGCTTCACCTTCTTCTTCATCTTGGCGTCTTCGCCGGCAAGAGGGCGCTTCATCTCCGGCCTCGCTCCCCGCGCCTCCGAAACTCGAAGACCCAGAAGGCTTAAGCGATTCAGCTGACCGGCGGCACTCGAGATTGCCGAGGCCAAGAAGGGGAAGACGATGAAGATGAAGATGAAGATGGTGGCGGCGATGGAGGGTTGGTTAAGGAAGGAGGAGGGAGGAGGAGGAGGAGGAGGAGGGGAAGCACATGATATGATGGATGGGGGGATGCTTTCGAAGACGACAAGCGAAGAAATGAATGCGCTTCGATTCTTTCTCTGATTCACGATTTTGTCCTCTTCTTCCTTTTTTGTTAAATTCATCGTGTACCTTGTTTTCTTCCTGTTTTTATTTTACTTTTCCCCCTTTTGATTTTAAATTTTGGTTAGTACCATCCAAAACTCCGAACTTGTATTTCTACGACAAATTTACCCTCCATCAATTTTCGCTAAATTTTATCGTCAAATTACTGAATTGGATGATACGTGAGGCAGTTAACGAATATATCAATTTAGGATTTTACCATTCTGTTTGTCACATATTTATCAATTTATAATTTTTCGTGATATTAATTTAATTTAGCGATCGTAAATTTATTTCTAATTTAAGGTAAATTTTATCACAAATTTAGAGTTTTCCCGTAAAATTAACCCTTTAAGTTTTTGACTGCTTTATTTTTATGTATATTTTTTTAATGTTTTTGCCCCTTCACGGTGCGTTTGTTTGGGACCTAAAAGAAGTCAAAATGCCCCGCAACAACTGGCCCTGGGCGGTGCTCTTATTTTATTTTACGCCCCCGTTTTTCCTAACTTCTTCATTCGAGATTTTTTTTGGGCTTAGTGCTCAACCGGAGAAATCGTTAACTAGTGAGGGTGTTTTCTGGATCGTGTGTGTTATACAAGGTAATGTTAGATTCGAATACTTTATTCTAGGTTTAGGTGCTAGCTTATTTTTATGAAGGGAGACTCCGGAAATATCTCATGCGGGGCTTTTGTTTTCCGAATAAAATATCGGGACCCTGGTTTTACTCCAAAGTACTCTTAAACTCGATTCCACTCGATCCCACGACATCCCGAGCTCGTCATCACGGTGAATAATTGTGGCCGACGAACACGTGCTTGTCGGGAGGACGTTTTACGCCTTCCCGAGGGCATTTGGATCGGGCAAAAATAGCAGAGATGTGCTCATCGGGCAATACATCGAAACGCCCCGAATTTCGCATTTTGAAGAACGCATAATACATGTAAGGCACATGCTTGTCGGGCAATCGTTATTTCCTTTATCGACAACGAAGCTCGAGGGGTTACTAGATTAAAGAGATGAAGAAGGTTGGGATAATCTATGACATTTACCAATTTTTGCGAATCATCATCATTCATGCCGCATATTTCTACCTTGATCCACATGGAATCGACCCACAAAAAAAAAAAAAGAATAGATGAAATTATATCGTATGAATATTAAAGTTCCCAATTGAGCTCATTTTGCTAATTACATGTGTACCGTTTAAGAGTACATTCGTTTCGTGGAAAATGAGTGATTAGAAAAATATTTTTCAAAAAATGATTATTTATATCGTTTAGAAAAATTAGTCAACGGAAAATGTTTTTATCATCGATAACAACCTATACTTACCTATTTTCATGGGCGATGAAAAAAGTTTCTATTCATTTATTTTTGCAAGTAATATAAGCGGTTATTTTTGAAAAATATTTTTTAATCACTCATTTTTTCGCAAAATGAACGTGTCCTAAAACTCTATTTGGTTTCGCTTTAATACGGAGCGGGTCCTTGATCCCCAATGGCCATGATCATTGATCATCCCCACGAATTTCAGTGGATTCCTGAAATTGCGTTCCTCGAAGCGGATAAGTACAGCTGCGTTACTGCTAGTGTTAGTCTTTTCCTAACATCAGAAATTAGTCGCAATCTGGACCAAACTCTCACCCACATTTTCCCTCCTCTTTGTCGAAAGCTGGAAGTCTTTCCTCTTTTTTTTTCCTTTCTTTTTTTGTGGCTTGAATTGTAGAGACACCAATTTGAACTAAGGGCGATCGGTTCTCAATCCAATCCGGCTCCACAAAACGGGACCGGATCGGGAGAATTGGTTCCCAAAATTAGAAACCGGGGACTAGACCGGTTGGTCCTAAGACCGGGAACCGGTCACTTAGGGTTTAGTTCGCATTTTACTAATTTTTATCAATAAATTTATGTCAATGAAGTTCACTTAGGATTTAATTCACATTTTACTAATTTTTGTCAATAAATTTATGTCGATGAAGTTCACTTAGGGTTTAGTTCATATTTTACTAATTTTTTGAAAAAAAATTAAACTATATATATAGTCGGTCCGGCCCGGTTCTCCCTTGGAACCGAGAATCGGACCGCCCGGACACCGGTTCCATTTTTAGAAACCGAGAATCGGACCGATATTCTTGAGAACCGGACTAAACCGGCCAGTCCGGTTCGGTCCGAGCGGTCCATTTTGCATACCCCCAATTTGAACCGATGGAAAGATGAGATGTAGCACTGGTGGTGATGGCCAATAATAGGTAATACGAGATCGCGAGCTCGAACCAATTTGCGATGGACCAGTTTACGATGGCGATGGGCCAATAATAGGTAATACGAGATCGCGAGCTCGAGCCAGTTTACGATGGACCTCCAGCACCTTGGAAGGACTATTATCATAACGCAGGACAACTGGATTGATGGTGGCATCCGACGATGACTGACGTCGAATTTGTGTAATGTCAAAGAGGGTAGCCGTTCCGATCGCTCCTCCTTGCTCCGTCTATTGGCAAAAATAGTCGTTCTAGTTGACTAAAATTGCTCGTATTTATTTTTCTATTTGTTGGTCGTATGTATTGAACTAAATTCGGAATTGGGCACAATATAAAAGATCTTTTTGAAGCACATATTCCTCTGGGGGAGCAATAAGGGCATGAATATAAAAGTCTTTATGACACGATCGATAATTCGATTCATTTTCATATAGGCATCGCTCTGGCCTCTTTGGGTGTTATTACTTCCTTGGTGGCTCAACACATTTACTCTTTACTTGCTTCTGTGTTCATAACACAAGACTTTACTACTCAAGCGGCGTCATATACTCATCACCAATATTGCGTCGTATACTCATCACCGATACACATAGGATTCATCATGACGAGGCTACATAGAACTTGTAACAATTGTTTTGCTCCCGACTCTCTCGTCGTCCTCCTCCATGTCATCGGCCGAGCACTTTGGTGATCTAACAATATAACAATTTTTTTGGGCCAACATGCTTTTAATACCCCTAATTCCCATCACATGTTCAATTGGGTTCCTAAGTTTTTTTTTTTTTTTTTTTTTGTGTAGCTAAGTTCTCTAACTTACTCAATTGGTGAGATCCGATTCTTCCATTACATGTTATTAGCGATCCATTATTTCGATCACATTGCATTGCTAACACAGCAAAGATCCGCCCCCGCCATAACAGGTCATTGAAGTACTTTTGTGGCCTTTGCATATGTTTGCTAGGCGAGAGCCCATTGACTCTAAACTAGCGACGAAGAGATGGCGGTGCCACCCCATTTCTCCTTGCCCCCTCCCTACTATTCTCACTAATGTGGCATACCACGTCGTCGACACATCCGTATTATCGAGAACGTTTGGCACTTGCCCATGCATGAGCAAGCAAATACGACGGAACCGTAATTACAAATTGGTGCATGATTAATAATTTTGATTACCCAAACCCAAGTTAAAAAGTTTGATCGCACATATTAGTAATAATTGGGCATTTGGCATGAAATGAAGGATTGGAGGTGGAATTAACTCTTGATTTCTCTTCGAACGAAAAAAAAAGGAAGTCACTCCAAATAGTGTGATAACGCCCCAGTGATGTTGGGAGCACGAGGGTTTGCGATCGAAACTCGTGAAGATTCTCTCGAGCAGTAGCTGCACAAAGCGACTTTTCTTTTTAACTGTTTTTGTCGGAGGCATAATAAAGTTTCTGATTTGACATGACTGAATGCTTAAATTGCGGCAGGGACGCAGCTGATTTTTTTGTATTAGAAATTCTCACTTGAAACGTTTTTAACGTAATTATTATCACGAAAAGCCTTAAATTGATATATTTATGATACATTTATTTTAAATTAATTTTTTGATCATAAAAAATCTCAAATTAATACATCTGTATAAATTTACCCTCTGTTATTCTCCGTTAAATTTTATTATCAAATTACTTAGTTAAATAACACATTGCAATTGACGAATGTACCAGTTTGAGGTTTTTATCTTTCGTTTGTCTTGGGTGTACTAGTTTGTGATTTTTTTTGTATTAATTTAATTTAATGAAGGGTAAATTTGTCACAAATGTACAAGTTTGAAGTTTTTAGTGGTCAAAAAATTAATTTTGGGTGAATTTATCACAAGTGTAGCAGTTTGGGGTTTCAATAGTCAAAAAATTAGTTTATGGTATATTTGTCACAAATGTATCAATTTGAAATTTTTTTTGTGGTATTAACCCTTTTAATTTTCATTTTTTCCCAATACATTACTCATCTTATCTGTTCATGCGTCTATTCCAAGATGTAGTTCATCACGGTGGAGGTACTTATTGACGAAGTTGAATCTAATTTAGATAGCTATTCTTGTTATCCTAATAACTAAACACCCTAAGAATTAGAAATGCACGTGCTTCATGTGATATAAGAGTTGCATATGGCGAATCCGATTCCTGATGCTTGTTTTGATTAATCGATAACAATCGCTTGCTAGATTGACCAAGCCTATTCAAAGACGACGGTTCCGTGGCAAACGATCTCTTTTATCGGTTCTCGTCGCGTAAGTTGCTATTGGCATGCTAGGATAGCCCGGTTTAAAGGGTTGAGGCAACCTTCGCATTTAGCCTCCCTTCTCATTCAAAAATAGCACGTGTCAAATCATCTGACATAAAGTTATTACCAAATTCACACTTTCTTCACCACCACTTTCCGATTTCTAGTTAACATTCAAGTGAGTGTTGTACGAAAATTACCACATTTTTGACGTCATTTTTTCCTTTTATTTTTTCTACCAAAATTCTCTTCAAACATAGCACTGGAGCCTAAGAACCCTAATTAATATAGCCCATCACAAAATTTTGGGGACATGCGTTGAGGAGGGGAGACAACAAAAGAAAAGTGCTCAAAAGGTTAGAGAGTACAAAACGGCGAAAGATTGAATAAAGATGAGAGCGCAAATTAAGCGGTTGGGACTAAATCCACGTTCATTTCATCTTATGGTTAGCCAAAGTGTCTTGTTTTGATGGGAAGATTACAAGCAAACTTTTCGAGGATCGATGACGACAAGGATGTTTTTGGCGTTACCATACTCGCTTTTATATTGAACCGGATCTTTCATCCGGTTCAAAACCCTTCTGACCTTTTTATATTCTCCCTCGCGTAGATAAATTTCGTGGCCTATGTTTTGGCACGATGAGTGTTTCTATTGCTTGACCATACGATTTTCGTCGTTTAATCTCAACAAATAAAAAATACTATTTCTTGCGTCGGAGCCAAAAAGTAAAGGCCCACGAGTCGTGACAAAAATAATTCACCATATTTGGATTTTTCTTTTTGTCCACTAAAGAAAGAAAAGATAAAGATAAAGACATACGATGAGACTGGATTCAGACACGATATAAACACCGTAGAACGATTAACATAACATGAATTTGACATAACATAAAATGCTTGTTGGGCCCCTCAAATTTGCTTTCCTTTTAGCAGTAATCGAGGATTTATTTTTCTCCCACAAGAAATCTGATATATTTGCCTTTTTTTTTTCTTTTCAATTGATAAAAAGAAGTGTTTCGCACTCGCCAAGATTCGAACCCTGCTCTATTTATCTAAATGAAACAGCGGTAAAACAACAACTTTGCAATTTGCAAAGTATCAGATAACACCATATGATCAGATTATTAAACAAAACAAACAATTTGGCGTAGGCGGGTCTTCAATGGACCCGACCTATTATTCTTCTAGTGGCCAATTCCTCTATTGCTGGGGCCGGAATAAGCTTGAGCTGCCTTGAACATGGGAAGCGAGGACCGGGTCAGGGACATCTCGTTGGCATCAAGATGCCTCGACGCCACCATGCCTCGACGTGAGAGGAGAAGCAAGGCCATGCCGAGCAATATTGCGCAGGACATGAAACGACGCCATTGATGCTTCATGGTTGCAGCTTCTCTTTGGTGATTTGTGTCCTCCACAGAAACGATTGATATTTATACACCTCGTTCACATGCTAAAACCGAGTGCTAGCTGTTGGAGGGACTAAAGATATGGGGGAAGGAGACGGTGGAAGTACTCCAAGGTTGACGAAATGGGAGTTCAATCGATTGTTGAAAGATTGCGTATCATTATTTCTTTGAGCCCGTGAATTTTTGTCACAGGCTCGGGAGATCTCTCTCTTCCTTTTCAATCGATAAGCATAGAGTTTGCCCGAACCTAGAACTTGATAGCACAAATTACTAACTCGAAGACCATATTAGCAAAAAAAATTGCAAGTTTGGTAGATTGGGTTGCGATCGGCAGATTGATCGCACGGCCGTGATACTTTGGGAACAGTTCTCGTTCATCTCAGTTGAGACCTTAACCAGAACCTATCATGGTTCAAGTACGTGGCGAGTTTCTGTTGCCAGTCATGAGGCAAGAACTTCGCTTAAATTGCTTTCATCTTGCTCTTGGGTATGACAAAGATCTGCTAATGAAAATTGTCCGTGAGTCCTGCCAAGTTGGATAGAGAGATCCATTTGTAATTAATATGGCCAAGGAACTTTGAAGGGAATCCTTGCAAAAATCGCCAAAATCAGCTGACTAGTTGATAATTTAGTGAAAGTGCAATTTAATATACTCATGCGGGACATATAGGTAGATTTGAATTTTCAAATCTTCTTAGAAGGTCGAAAACAAATTGCACTCCCGGCCAACCTTGTGGGAAGTACGTATGATGGACGCAAAAGGGTTTGAATCATTGAACATTGAACACTGAACAGAGCCTATTCACATCGAACAAGTTCTTGTAACTAGATGTAGAACCAAAAGATATCACCATCTGATGCCTAGACATTATCTGGTAGAAACTAGAAAAAGCAACACAGAAGTGGATTCAACCAAAAAAAAACACAGAAGGGGAATGAAAGATGACTGGCGGCTCGACAATAGGCTGTCCGCTTAGCTAAGAAAGCTGCCAATAGCTTATCGATTTAAAGCAGAAGGTACACTGAAATGGTGGTGTCTGGCGTCTAGTAGGCCGGGTAGTTTACTTCTGTTCAACTATGCTCCGAGTCTCAACCCCGACACATGTTGCAGATCCTAAAAATCCTTTGCCCATCCATCATGCTGCAAAGTTCCTCTAGTGCAGATGCTGCTAAGTCAATCTTAAGATGATCTAACTGGGTTACCACCAACGGCAATAGCAACTAGCAAGGTGCAGAAGGAAACTAATCTGACCAAATATGTGCGAAGCAATACAGATTAAATTCCTATGCGCCAAATCTCAAGTCAAAAAAGAAGGATCCTCTTGGCTTCATATTGCGCCTCATAAAGGCATAACTCAACTTGGTTTGCTCTTAATTTCAGTGGTGGAAAGGAAAAACATTCCCATGCTTGAAAAATTGAACACGACAAAACATAAAGGCTAGTCCATAATATCAGCTAATGCACCCAAAGTACGGACAATAACTTCCTAGGAGCCCCGCATATAGAAAACTACACTGCTAAAATAAGTGATTGCTATACTGAAAGAAAAGTATTTCCAGTTATCCTTCCACCCTGTACTCAAATTCGTAATTCAATGTGGTCATATCACGAGAAGGTATTCTTTGGTGCAAATGTTTAAAGATAGAGGCATCTGCTAAGCTTCAACTCCGGCTTCACAATCAGACTCGGATGCTCTTACAATGTTCTGATTTTTCAGTTTAGATACTTTAATAAGCCTGAGCGCAGATTTAAGATGAAGACAATTGCAAATAAATAGTAGTTTAGGCATTCGCAGAATCATCCTGCCTTTTGGTCATCTACGAAACTGTTTGTTTATGGATATTGAGGGAATCATTGATGGACTGGACTTTGAGGTCAGTGACCCAAGGCTAGCTTCCATTTTTGCAATACAATGGAGAGGAGGGTTCTTAAATGAAAAAAATTCTTTTACTGAGGCACATGCACTTGCACCACTCTACCAACTGAGCTACGTTTCCCCGACAGTTTATATCCCTTCAGAAACAATACAAAAATGAGAAGTTTATTTGATAAGTTTAATGGATAGGATACCTCAACAGCATGCATTACTGCACTTAACAGAGGGTTTGATGTTTGACTTCGGACCATTAGGTTCATTAGGTAAAATGGTGGAACAAACCAAGGACCAAAATGCCTTGAGCGATGGCCCTTCCACTCAGCACCATCGGATCCAGGGGTGACAAGATCAAGTTGGTAAGGATTAAAATAGTCCTCCATAGTTTCCACCGCCTGTCTGGGGTTGAGCCCTGGGATATCTATCTATATGGTGAAGAAAAAACAGCTTAAGATCTCTATTCTTATTACTACTATTTCACACTAGGACAGGCAACAAGACATTTATTCACACTGCCATCTGCCGCTGCATCCCCGCAGAGGATAGGACCCGTCAAATAACAAATCAAAGAAAAAGTAGCAGGTAAATAGAAGATTCCAATAGGCCTGTATCGATCGACTTCAAGACGACTAGTTTTGGAAAAATGAGGGGGATCAAAATAATCCGACTGAGTGCATCAAAGTGCTTCCAGCAGCAACTGGTATATCAGCTTTTAAAACATGTGTGATAGCATTTAGGAGCTTCGCTTAATTGATAAATGCTAAGCCAATTTCAGTGCCAACTAAAAGTTGACTGGTACTTCTTACTTTCAAGTTTTAAGTCACCGTAGCCAAAACAAGCCACCAAAAGCCCAAAATAAGAAGAGACGGAACATGAAGTGAAGGGCTCAGAAGCTGAAAACCATGAGCCAAGCTGCACCAGAAAATTGTGGATAAGGGGTTTGATTTAATTTTGCCACTTGACCTTCATTAGTGATAACCATTGGCAGTTATTACTTTCAAGTTTTAACAATCACCATAACCTAATAGAAAACAGCCAAAGCAAGCCACCTCAAGCCCAAAATAAGAAGAAAGGCAACATGAAGCAAAGGGGTTAGAGGCTTAAAACCATGAGCAGAGCTGCACCAGAAAGCGGTCAAAAAGGGTGTTGATTGATTTTGCCAATTGACCTTCATTAGTGATAACCATTGCTCAAACTTCCACCAAATTCGATCAAATTAATTTCCTCATTTGGACACACATGTTTACATTCAAGATAATGCCTGTATTCTTCACGGTATGTACAGCTAGTGATCAACGGGTCCACATCCTATTTTCAACAGAAAAGCTTGCATGGAGAAGACAGATCAGACTTAAGTTCATAAGGGCCCCTTCTATGTCCCTGGCCCTCAAGGGATGGTTCTCGTAGTTACGGGGTACGTAGCCACGCTACACATTCGCATTGCAAGGTATCACATTACAATGCACACTTTGAAAATCTAGGGTAATCTGATGACTACGACCCCTAAGAAACAGTTCCGTAGCCCAAATTTAAGCAGGAAAATTTATCAAAACAGAGGGCCAAAGAATTCCCTGTGAATTGGAAGTGCTATCAGAACCAAACATAAAGTACAATCTAGCACAAAAGAGAGCCTTTCCTCATAGCAAATCAACAACCGAGAGGCTTTCAGACGTCCAAGTTGCCCTAATTACAACACATACGAGATCAACAATACTCCTCGAGCAAAGGGTAAAAGATGTTATGCACAAATCCACGACAAACAGCAACACATGTTATCCTATCAGACATACTACTTCACTGTACTACCTCAAAACCCCGAGCTTGTCATCTAAAGGGAAGGCGCGACCAAAAAGAGAACACCCCACCTCAAAACGACGACGACCTTTCGACCCCGGAATCGAAAGAAGGGGAGACGTCCAGCACCTCGGGGGTCTTCGGCGGGAAGGAGCCGCGGTCGCGGGCGGTGCGCGGCTGGAGGGAATCCAGCATGCGCCGGGCGATAGCCCTGGCGTACGCCTGGAGGACGTCCGCACCGTCGTCGTCGGCGGAGGCGGCGGCGGCGGCGGCGGCGTACTCCTCCTGCTCGATGGCGCGGGCGACGGGCGCCGCCTCGTCCCGGGGCAGGGTGCCGTAGCGAGCGGAGAGCGCCGACGGAGCGGACAGCGTCTCCACGAGGCGCGAGACGATCGCGTCGCGCGTGGTCCGGGTCGGGGGCCAGAGGCGAAACGCGGTGTCGGGGTCGGGCTCTTCGGGAGGCGCTTCTATTTGTAGAGGCGGCGGCGAATCCTGTTCTGGTGGAGGAGGCGGCGGCGGCGGCGGCGCCGGCGGAGCCACAACTTCTTCCGATTCAGACATGGGAGAAGAGCAGGGAAAGGACGAGTACGCGAAACGAGTAGAGCAGGAGAGTAAGCAGGGGATTTACGCTCGTAACTAAGTAATATAACTTCGCGACGATAATTTATTTATAGAGTTCGTAACACGAAAATGTTAACGCCATTTTGCTCTATCGATCGTAACTTATATGTACTAGTCGTAATTTATTTGCACTTGGAACTAGTAACATCCGTTTATAATGATAAATTTATTCATAGAGTTTGTAACATGAAAATGTTAGCATTCAATTAGAGAAGTAATTCAGATTGTTATAAGTGACTGTAGCTATATTTAGTAGTTGCCCTTAATAATGGCAATTTCTTTACAAGTTCTTGTCAATGAAAAGTTAGTAACCGTCTTCTGCATGTAATTATTAACCTTAAAGTCTCGTAAGGTTGAACATGCAAGCCTGAATAGCTTTCTACGAAAAATCACAATAATCTTGAATTCATCGTAAATGTCTTTTCCTATTCTTAGGAACCTACCTTTATGATCGTAACAATTCTTTACAGTTTGTGAACTAAAAGACCCTATCAGTGGGCAATAGTCCTCACATGTCATTATCTTTCTTAATCACTAGTAACATTGACAGTTTTATAGTCAATTATTTCCTTAAATGTTCATAAGCTACTATCTTTTTAAAGTTATTCGACGTTTGAAATTTTTCTCCACAATGGTGAACATGACAAATCGGACCGGTTCTGTAAATTGCTAGACTGGATCATAGAATTTCCCCACCCAGGGCATATACTGATCCATGATGTTGCTTACCAACAAGCAAAGTATTCAATGACTGCCACATAGTGTTGAAATGCTTTTAAACGGTCCGCATTGTTCCACATGAACTTCATTTGAGAGTCATCAAGTTAAATGGTCAAGATCCATTTTAAAATAAGAGTCACGGTAGGCACTCATCAAGTATACTTTATTTATAATAATTTAATTTTCAAGGCACTGATCGTGCATAACAGAAAGCAATCGACACATTAAACACTATAAAATTTTCTTAATTGGTTGCTTAACAAGTATGCCCGGGGCCCTCATTAATATAATCCTTAAAAAGTTCGTCACACACCAAGTAAATAATATTTCATGTAAGTGTGCACAGTTACATGTGCAGTTGAATGAAAAAAGTGCAAATTACATAAACTAAGCAACCAAGCAAACCAAGTTTAATGAACTCTCTCCAGAAAGCAACTAAGTTCTCATTGGGTGACTAATAAAGCTTCGGGAATTTCATAAAGTGATCATCCAGACCGATCCGCCATGGGAAAGCGAAAGTGAAAGCGAAAACGGGGGTTATGGCAAGTTAGGAAAGACAAAGCCGAACGAGATGTTTCCAAGAAAAGCTTTCCATCTTTAGTGGAATTGTTAACAGAGAGGATGAGAAAGGAAGTCGCACCTAGCAAAGAAACCTAGGAGGAGACGCCTAGAAACTAGCAGCAACTATTCCACCAAGGAGCAGGATATGTACCGATTATAAGAGTCGGACTCGAACTATCAGGTATGAGCAACTCACTCCAAGCAACTCACCCATTCTAGGTCCTATGCAGAGCCACCGTCCACCACCACCAGTAGCCACCACCTGTTGCCATCGGCCACTATGGTCGACATCGCTGCCTAGCATTGCTCTCTCTCTCTAGCTTCGTTAGCTCTATCATGCTTGCGTTACCATCACGACGACACCAATTGTAAATCTATCTCTTTCCTTGACGGCCTCGAAATTTGGAGTATACTAAGGCGCTCTCTCTCTCTCTCTCAAACCAATGTGTTTTCTTTGCAACCGCCAAATCTTTGTACTTACACAACAACCTCTAACCCCATGACATTGGATTTGCCTAGGGACCGATATGATGTCCAGAGGAGATGTCAATCAAACCTCGAAATCCCTAGTATACCAAGGAGATGAAAATCATATTGCAACTTTAGTTAATGGCAGGTCCTTTCTTCAAACATACATATCATCTTACAATAATAATCGTCCAAAGTATTCTTAGTCCGTTCAAAGACCTAATGAAAGTCCATGTGAATGGGCATTTCATTAATACATTACACATCCCATCTTCTTTTTCTTTCCTTTAACACATTATCATTAGACATGAATTAGAATTCTTATTTCATTCCACTCTACTTTGTGTTTTTTTCTCCCTTCCATTCATACCAACTTACTTTGTTATTACACATTAGTTCACAAGCATTGTGGCGGTTGAACATGACCAAAATAAATTCACTGGAGAACGACCTTCTCAAAGCTATGCAAGAACATTACCAATCATGCATTGGCGCACTTTGCACATAGCCTCCAATGGCTGTCTCTTGGGCATTGTGAGTCCCGTCCCTTCCGACAAGTCCACCGACTCTTCGCCGACTCGTTCCCACTCCAAGCATTGAATAAGCGCCGCCAGAGCCAAACCTACCACTCTATTGGCAAGGCTAGCATCGGGACACCTCCTCCTCCCCATGCCAAACGGCAACAGCCGTCCACCTATGATGCCCTTCCAATCCCTCGTATCTCCCTAGTTTAAAACTTGTTGGATCGTTCCACACTTTTGGGTCTCTCTGAATTGCCCACGCATTTACTAGGATCACGGTGCCTCCAGGCACGTTGAATCTGCCAATCGTGCACTCCTCAGAGGACTCGTGAGGCACTAGGAGTGGCGTCGGCGGAAACAATCATAGCGCTTTGTTGATGATGTTTTGAAGGCAAGGCAGCTTTTGGATGTTTGCTTTGTCAGCTAGACGGTCTCGACCAATGACGCCGTCTACTTCTGCTTGAACTTTCTTCAGGACGTCCAGATGGTTGAGTAGGAGGGACATGGCCCATTCTAATGTCACCGAGGACGTGTCCGTGCCCGCAGCTAACATCGATTGCCGCGGAATATGGTTAAGTAATTTGCTAAGGCTACGCAAGGCAGCCATTCTGTGCTTGGGAATAGATTTTGCTCAGAAATGATTCTTTTTAATTCTGTGCCCGGAAATAATTTATAAGCATTTGAAGGTGTTTAGCAACTGCTCAAAATTTCTATTCTTAGAATAGAAAAAGAACATAAATGCGTTTGGTAACTACACAAAATTTCATTTTATTAATAATATTTTAATAATATTTTGAATTTTTTAATATTTCTTTCTTTTTTTTCTTTTTTCTTTCTTTCTCTTCCCTTCCTTAGCCAAGGCCGGTCGCCGGCGCCCGCGATCGGCCATAGGCCAGGGCCGGTGAGGACATCACGGCCCTCGTCGCCACCCTCTCCGCCGGCCTCGTCGGTCGCGACGGCAAGGTCGACCTCGCCGTCGCCACCCAAGTCCATCGCCTGGGTGGCGACGGCGAGGTCAGCCTCGCCTTGGCTGGGTGAGGCCTCGCCGTCGCGGTAGCGAGCCGCCGTTGCCCAGGTCGCTTGGGCCGCGATGCCTTCGTCGGCCCTAGCCGGTCACCGGCGGGTGGCGGGCGACAGGCCGAAGAACGACAATAAACCAAAAAAAAAGAAGAAAATCAAGAAGAATCAGAAATGGAAAAATTGTTCCAGAATCAAGAAGCTACTTTTTTGTGCTTCTTAATTCTGTTCCAAAACTAATTCTGGGAACAATTATTTGCAAAATTGTGTCCAGTACAAAAAATTTAACAAACGGATTTCTGCTCCCAAACTGATTCTATGAACAAAAGAACATAAATTTTTATTATTTAGCAAGTTACTAAACAGGCCCTAAGTATGTTCGTTGGTTTCAAAGAGAGATGAAACTGGTTTTCGAAATTGAAGAACCATCGGGTTCAGACGTAAAGAGGAAAATGCAAAGGAAAATGTTCGCTTTAAGTCGGTATCAATAATTGGCCGCTCTTATGGTCTTGTTCATGTGTAAGTGCAAAATTTATCTGTTTCATGCATCATGTAGATGTAGAAGTGATTTTCTACGGTGGTTTGTCTTGTCAATGGTGACAGTTTTCGAGACGACATGCTTCGGTATGGTTCGACCGGTATTCAGCTTGAATCGATCGGAGTTGAAAAACATGCGTAAATTCAAGAAAGAAAAGTAGAACTTGACCTAAATCAATTACCTCACACATGATGGAAGTAATTTCATTTTGGCCACTCTCTTCTTTCTCTGTTTTAAACCATCATTCAAACCTAAAGGTCATAGAAAATGCCTTGTTTGGGAAGAAGTCATATTTTTGTCCATTTGCTCCCTCATCTCTCATTTCCTTTCTTTCCGGATATGTTCTCACCATTGTTATTCTTATTTTGGTGAACTTGAAGGAGTGGATCCTTCAATAATTTATAATTATTTGTTATTTAGTTTTTGTAATTCATAACATATTATTAATTTCGCAGTAAATTAAATTATTGTTCGTCATTTAATCATTTCTCATTGGAGAGCACTAAAAGACCTGTCTCACAAAACTCTGAAACATGCATGAGTGATGTGAACAGAACATGTGCTATACACATACTAGGATTTGGCCTTTGATGATGTCGTCCGAGTAGCCCTCCGACAGCATGGTATCGATCATTGTCTTGCTCTCCACCTCTCTGCCGCACTTTTTGTTCAAGAAACGGGTTTCGTCGCGATTAGAAATCATAATCTCGAATTTTCTGCTTTTAATGACGCGTCAGCTAAAAATTAGGTGTCAACAGCTGCCCCTCTTTGAGTGGGAGTTCGAAGAGGTTCCGCTCAAAGACTAATTGGCACCTGCAAATTTTTAGTCGACTCCACTTGGGAAATAAAAGAAACTAAAGACAAAGACATTTGATCAGAGTCTTACCTGAAGCACTTACCATTGACCATTTGGATTGTCAACTCATTCATGTGTTTTTCTCTTCTCTCTCTCATATGGTGGAATAAAGGAAGAAAGAAAAAGAAGGGGTTTTGTAGGAAAGCTATGGTTTAAGGATAACCAAAAACCTAATGACAAGATTTAAGGATGACCGAGAACCAAAGGACAAGGTTTAAGGATAACCTAGAACCTAAGGTAAGGTTTAAGGATGACCAGGAACCTAAGACAAGGTTTAAGGATAACCTAGAACCTAAG